TGATAACATTGTAGCAGCAGGAGAATATACATTGCCTAGTATCATGGATAAGTTGGCAGTGTCCTCGAGCTTTTTCCAACGAAGCAAGATGATAGAACAGTTCAACCAGAATAACACATGGAAGAAAAGGGGTATTTCTCGAGTGCCAATTGTGTATGAAGTTATGCAACGACCAACCTCAGGAAAAGTCAGTATTCTACTAAGATGGATCGATCGTAGTAGAGGAAAAGTCAGTATTCTGCAAGTGTCCTCGAGCTATTTACAAAGGTTAGACAGATGACTGCATATGCTCTTGGTTTAATTGATAGTAGTTGGGCTGAAGACCTCGTGGAGAAAGTTCGAGTCATACAAGCAGACACCTTGAGCTTAGTGCAGGCTGGGTTTACAGCTGGAAGCACTACATCGGAAACAAGCTGTGAAGCTGTTAGACTTTGCTGTGATGTATTGGTTGAAAGACTAACCCCTTTGAAGAAACAGTTGCAGGAACAAAATGGCGCTGTTGATTGGCCAATGCTGATTCGCCAGGTTCGTTTTCCTACTATATTATAATAAACAGAGAAAAAACTAGAGAAACGTAAGAATACATCGGTATTTATACACAAGATAAATATTCTAAACTTAATGTAAATCCTACAAATTCTGTGCATAATGTTCTACAGCTAAAGCTATATAATATTTTACACTTCTTAAATATCTCTTTACATATATTCTAAACCAAATGTCGTATCTAGAATATCTCTTGCATATTTACCATCTCGTGAATATCTAAATGTAGATCATACAAAATATTCCATGATCTGTTCACCATACTAACATGTATATTCACCTTCTCATTTTTTTCGACATTTCAACTCTGGAAGTCATGGGGTCACTTCACAATGAAATTTTTAGTCTTGAATTCAATTTGAAGATCATAACAAAGTAGTAACTAACTGCTTGTATATTATTTGGAATGGTAAGTGAACTAATGTATGTGTTAAATGTCTGAGCTTGTACTTGTCTCCCACTCTCCTCTTATTTTGCAGGCACAAACGCAATCAGTAAGCTTAGCTGCAAATTCTTATTATGTACCAAAATTCGGTTCCAGGAGTTATTTGAACTTTGGCGCTGCTGTCAGTGAGGTAACTTCTTGTTTCTGTCTGTTCTTCTGGTTCCCTCATCCATGTTTCGGTAACGTTCCCCTCTTCAGTCTGCTTCATGGTTTATCAATTTTCCATATATATGAAGGACAATACTCGGCAGGGAGCTTTGATTGTGGAATACTCCCTCCGTTTCAATTTGTTTGTCTGATTTGACTTGACACAGAAGTAAAGAAATTTTGGAATCTTGTGGTCTTAAACATGTCACGCGAAACATTGGAACAAAAGAGCTAACAAGAAAGAAAAGATACATTCGTGTTTAAACGGACTAAAAAGGAAAGTAAGACGAAGAAATTGAAACGGAGGGAGTATTTTGCAGCCAATATATGTTCTGCAGCACCTTCATTTGACTAAGTAATAATAAAGCTTTTTTGTAGGTGGAGATTAATATTCTGACTGGAGAGACTGCCATTTTGCAATCGGATATCATTTATGACTGCGGGCAAAGCTTGAATCCAGCCGTTGATTTGGGACAGGTTCTTCCCTTTGTCGTAGCTTATACATTGAGAAATGCGTCATCCATGTGATCTGTTCTTCCATATTGTTCATAAATATGAGATTCCTTTTCTTTTCCTTTGCTGCAGATTGAAAGGGCTTTTGTACAGGGAATCGGATTTTTCATGCACGAAGAATATCTTACAAACAAAGACGGGTTAATGGTCTCGAATAGCACTTGGACATACAAGATCCCAACTATTGACACCATACCTCAGAATTTCAATGTTCATGTGGTAAACAGTGGACATAATGAAAAACGTGTTCTCTCGTCTAAAGGTATTATTCTTTTTTCATTTGTCTTGCTTATAACTGTGAACATCATGGACTCATAAACTTCAAATTCTGGATTTGCCTTTATTCATACAAACCGTTGAATCATAACTTGATTACTCTTTTTACAGCATCTGGTGAACCGCCGCTGCTTCTGGCAGCTTCAGTCCACTGTGCAGCAAGAGCAGCCGTTAAAGCAGCACGCGAACAGCTCAAACTATGGGGCAAGCTTGGCGGGTCTGTTTCAGAATTCTATCTAGACGTCCCCGCCATATTACCCGTTTTGAAGACACAGTGTGGCCTGGATTATGTGGAAAAATACTTGGAAACTTTGCTGGCTCAGAAATCTAACTAAAAGTGCTTCAACATGCATCTCAAATGATATTGAACTATGTTGCTCGGACTCTCCAGCATATTGCATATGCTGTGTCGGTTTCTAAAAAATACACTATTTTTTGGACGACCTAACATACATTTGGGGGTATTTTTGAGAAGTCCGAACAACATAGATAATTAATACTTGTTTAATGTATATCTTAAAGAATCTGAACTGTTCTGTTTAAAGAAATTGTGAGTTAAAGTTACTTTGTTATTTTGTCTATATCAACCTCAGTGTAAATTTAGATTGTATATATAGCAATAAAATGATTAACTGAACTATGGTTGACTAATAGAGAAATATTATTCCGGTCGTATATTTGTCCAGTTTGAAAAATGAACAGATAATTTATTATATTATACTTATTTTTAATTTTGCTATATACGTGCATTGCACGTGTGTTCCGTAAATTTTTTTTTAGATTTGTTGGAATAATTAAAATTTTATGAAAACATGTTGCGAGTAATTAAATGCAATAATTACTCATATATCTTTAAAATATGACAAAAATGTAATGTTTAAAATCAAGTTCTTTTAACCAACCAACGGTAGCTTTTTGACTTTTAACAAACATTCATTAAAGCCATCAATAACTTCATTCAGAAATTCATAGAAAATTAAATTTAAGATTGAAATACGAAAAAAATATAATGTACTCATCCTTTTTAAGACTTTACTCGTACAAATTATAAATGATAGCCACTTATATAATAAATAATAAATTGAAGTGACTGTCCATTATCTATAAACTATTATTCAGAAAAATAATATTTTGGGTATGACTTTTTCAAATCACATTAGAATATATTTTATTTTTTGGATAAGTACAAAAATGTATGTGAATGGAATTTGAAAGTGATTTTCGCGGTAGACAAGAAAAAGATAAAATTAATATAAGTTATATTTGTAAAGAGAAGATATATCAATCGATGCTTAAGTTAATATATTATCTGTCGTAGTTATTTGTTCTTTTCTAAATTGTTTTCATGAGTTCTTTGCTATAATATTTATTTTACATACTTGATTTTTAATATGCTTACTCGAGCACAGGGTCTTATTGTAAACCATGAAACGGTGGAGATAAGGCTTATAATAATTTAATTGGACTCATTTATGTCATTCAATAAAGTATCTACTTATGACATTATTTTTTAACAGAAAATATAAATAATTTTGGATAATAATTTTATTTATCTAATCTTTTATTAGAGGTCTACATCTCCAAAATTAAACCGGCCCCACCCTTTAACACATTTAAAATTAAAAATTGGACCCCTTAACGTTGAATAAAAAAAAACAAAATAAATATTTTAGTCTGTTATCTTTTTTGAAAAAGAAAGAAATCTTTTTTATTCATTTTTATCAAATAAATATTGAATGACTTTCCAATAACTATAAACTATTATTTAGAAAATCATATCTTTGTATGACCTTTTCAAATCAAATTTAAAATAATATTTACTATGTACAAGAAGTATGTTATGAATGTGACATAGGGAGATAAGATCGAGATGATTCGTCCAATAAGAATATGTGAGATTTTGATTGGCTATCGTGAACATAAAAAGAGGTAGAGAAAGATTAAAAAAGTTTTTAGGAGATATTATTAAATAGAATATGACATGACGTTAGATAAAAAACATAGAGATAAAGCACTAAGATAGAATATCAATAGGTAATTGAACGTTATTTGCTTCTCAAGTTGTGGTAGTTACTTGATTTTTTTCCTTAATTGTTTTCGGAATGAGTTTTTGACTATATATTATATTAATTTTACATACTTGATTTATGATATGCTTACTCGAACCGAAAGTCTATCGAGGATCATCCTTCTACCTTCGCTAGGTAGAAATAAGGTTGCCTACATATCACCCTCTTCATATATCACGTACAAAAGTCTTCTTTCCAAAGTGGAATAATCATCAAAATACGAAATCTCCCTAACACGTTCTACCTAATTGTTGACTTCTTGTACATTGATTCTGAATAGCTTTATTGAGATCAGATACAAAAAGTAAATGCAAAGACTTTTAATTTTGAGAATTATGTTAATTTAATTTTTATTGTTTTTAACATTATTTTTAAATAATTATATAAATTATTACTCCTAGTAATTATATTTTAAATTTTAAATATTATTAATATAAATAATTTAATAAAGTAAATCTTAAATAAATAATTTTTCAAAAGGAAGACATTCTATCCTCAACATTATATTTCTTGAAAAAGTCAACACAAAAAAAAGTAAAAAAAATTAATACATTTTGTCGCATCACAAAAAATGGCTGTCATATATTTTATGGGGCACCATGAATTGTAATAGTCCACTTTTTTTTAATCTGTTTTAAAAAAAAATGACACGTTTTTGTATTGAGTAATAATTATACTATAAAATATTTATTTATTCTTAATGAAATGATTTTTATTCACATAAATTTCTATTATTTATTTTGGATCACAAAAATTTTAAAAGTTCTACTTTCTTTCTTAAACTCTGTGTCGAATCAAACTAATTGCGACGGAGGGAATATAACTTAATAGTTTAAAGGCTATAATTTGACCAATCATGTTAAGATGTGAAAGAAAATGTTGAATGCTATGTAGTACTATTATTTCATCACATTGTTTGTTGACCATTTTGTGAAAATAAAGTTTAATTATATGGGGACACTCTAATACAATTACAAGATTCTTGGTTTTTCTTTCAGTTTCTGTTGTTTTTCAGCTCAAAAAGTTGAAAAAGACGAGATTTTTGATAAAGGGAATGTGTCAAAGGTAACTGCTTTAGTGTTTCAGCTAGCCTTTTGTGTTAAAAACTCAATCTTTGAACACCCTATTCAAGATTCATGTATTTTTTGTTCTTTGAGTTCTGATGTTTTCAGCTTAGGAAGTAGAAAAAGATAAAGATTTTTGATAAAGGGTGTGTGTCAAGTTAAAGTAAGTATTTGGACGTCTAATTCAATTCAAGATTCTTGTTTCTTCTTTCACTTCTGGTAACTTTTAGTTTAAAAAGTATAAAAAGACAAGATTTTTGATAAAGGGTGTGTGTGAAGTCAATTGCTATTACATTAATGGAAGAAAAACAAAAGAAAGTGAGTTTGGTTTTGGCAGTTAATGGAGAAAGGTTTGAGTTGCCATGTGTTGATCCTTCTACAACTCTGCTTCAGTTCTTGCGCTCTGAGACTTGTTTCAAGAGTCCCAAGCTTGGTTGTGGTGAAGGTAATTCTCCTATGTATTGTTTAACCACTCGATTACATGTATACTATACGTGATGTGTTGGTCAATTTGCCCGTAGATACCTGTGGTGTTTTTGCCTATGGATCATGCAGAAAGTATATGATAACTAATTAGGACTTCCTTTTTGAGTTTTTTTGGTTTCTGTGCTTAAATTCTGTACTCTTTAGGTCTTTTTTGACAATCTGAGGGTGTGGAATGGTAAAGATTCTTTCATCGTTAGATAGAGGTCTTGTGTTGGTATCATGAGAATGAGGTCCTCTTAAGTAGAGATGCGTGACGGTTTTCAGGCAATGACAATCAGTCATTTACATGAATTAGTTCTCTTAAGTTGGAGTTTTTTGTTTCATAGTGAACTACTTTATGTAATTCTTCTTGTTAATTCGAAGTACAATGGAATACTATGGCTAACTTTAGATTATATGGAAACACTTTTTTCTTCGTAAGTCTTGCAAAGAGGTATCATCTCATCATCTGGTTTCATTATATATTTTGGTTTCAGAAAGAACATAACTTATTTGTGTTGTTGCAGGTGGTTGTGGAGCTTGTGTCGTTCTGGTGTCGAAGTATGATCCCAGTCATAAAAAGGTTGAAGATTTTAGCGTGAGTTCGTGCCTTACACTTCTTTGCAGTTTGAATGGTTGTTCAATTACTACAAGTGAAGGCCTTGGGAACACCAGAGATGGTTTTCACTCTATTCATGAAAGATTTGCCGGTTTCCATGCTTCTCAATGCGGCTTTTGCACTCCTGGCATGTGTATGTCATTTTTTTCAGCTCTTGTCAATGCCGATAAAGGAAACAAACCCAATCCTCCATCAGGATTCTCTAAGCTTACTTCATCTGAAGCTGAAAAGGCCATCACAGGGAACCTTTGTCGATGCACTGGATACCGGCCCATTGCTGATGCCTGCAAGAGTTTTGCTGCTGATGTTGATATAGAGGATTTGGGGTTCAATTCTTTTTGGAAAAAGGGAGATTCCAAGGAAGTGAAAGTAAGTAAGTTACCTCCCTATGATCCAACTAAGAATTTTAGTACATATCCTGAGTTCTTGAAAAGTGAATCCACTACGAATTCGGACTCCTCAAGGAGATACCCTTGGTACAGTCCTGTTTCCATTGAGGAGCTACGGAGCTTGTTGTACTCCAATGTGATGGAAAATGGTGCAAGCTTTAAACTTGTCGTTGGTAATACCGGCACAGGTTATTATAAGGAAACTCAGCCATATGATCATTATGTTGATCTCAGGTACATTCCTGAATCCTCAATCATCGAAAGAGATCAGAATGGCATTGAAGTTGGAGCAACCGTGACTATCTCTAAACTGATTTCATTCTTGAAAGAGGAAAACATAGTCAATATTGGTTCATACGGGACGTTGGTGTCCCAAAAACTGGCTAGACACATGGAGAAGATTGCTTCACCATTTGTTAGAAACTCTGCTAGTGTGGGAGGAAATTTGGTTATGGCACAGAAGAATGGTTTTCCTTCAGATATTGCTACATTATTTCTTGGACTTAGTGCTACTGTTAGATTGATGACCAGTCATGGATTTGAAAAGCTCTCATTGGAGGAGTTATTATCGAGACCACCGCTAGACTCAAAGACTGTGCTTCTAAGTGTTTGCATCCCATTTAAGAATGCTCAAAGTTCTCTCCAAACTAACTCTAAATTGTTGTTTGAAACCTTTCGAGCTTCTCCACGACCTCATGGGAATGCCATTGCATATGTAAATGCGGCTTTCCACGCTGATGTTTCTCACTGCAAGAACGGTGTCCTGATAAACAATATCCAGTTGGCGTTTGGTGCTTATGGAACAAAACATGCAACAAGGGCTAAAAAAGTAGAGGAATATCTAGAGGGGAAGATATTAAATGTACATGTTTTATATGAAGCACTTAAATTGGTCAAACTAGCAGTAATACCGGAAGATGACACTCTACACCCCGAGTACAGATCAAGCTTGGCCGTCAGTTATGTTTTCAAGTTTCTTCATCCCTTAACTGATGTTCATTCTGCTATTTCTGGTGGTTTACTCAATGGAATTAGTGACATCTCAGTTGAGGAACTTTCTAAAAGTTGTAATGATGGTCGCATTAGTCAGGGGAGAGAACAAACACTATTGTCTTCTGCTAAGCAAGTCGTGGAATATTCAAGCACCGAGTACTATCCAGTCGGTGAACCGATGAAGAAGGTTGGAGCTGCGATGCAAGCTGCTGGTTAGTTCTCTTATTTAAACAGTTCATTTCATCTTGTGCATGTTAAGCGAAGGGGAGCCTTGAAACAATGAAAAAATTATATACAATTTTTCAGGTGAAGCTGTTTATGTAGATGACATTCCTTCACCACCAAACTGCCTGCATGGATCATTTATCTATAGTACAAAACCATTAGCAGGTGTAACTGGAATCCAACTCGAGTCAAATCGATTAACAGATGGAGTCACCGCTGTTATTACTTTTAAAGATATCCCAAGCGGAGGGGAAAATATAGGAGTTCTTACAAAGTTTGGTACCGAGCCCTTATTTTCAGATGATCTCGCCCGATATGCTGGCGACAGAGTTGCTGTTGTGGTGAGCACTTCAAGATTCTTCCAGCTGGATTCAGTTTATGAAACATTAATTTCTTTATGTTGTTGAAACATTATAGGTTGCTGACAGTCAGATGTCTGCTGATGTGGCTGCAAGAACAGCCCTCGTTGAGTACGACACTGAAAATATAGATCCTCCCATCTTAACCGTTGAGGAGGCTGTTGAGAAATCTAGCTTTTTCCAGATCCCACCATTTCTAAATCCAAAACAGGTTGGTGATTTCTCCAAAGGAATGGCTGAGGCAGATCACAAGATTCTCTCTGCTGAGGTACTTTCGATTTCTCTGTATTGTTTTCATTCGTTCTAATGGTTTCCTGGATGGTGATCTTACATGTCTAGCCATAGATGTATAGTAAAGGTTTAAATGTATTACTGATTAGCTCTTCCCATAATCATTTCCAGATAAGGCTCGGTTCCGAATACTATTTTTATATGGAGACACAGACTGCCCTTGCGATTCCAGATGAAGACAACTGCATGGTTGTTTATACTTCAAGTCAGTACCCTGAGTATTCGCATCGTGTTATTGCCAGTTGTCTTGGTGTTCCCGAACACAATATCCGCGTAATTACAAGAAGGGTTGGAGGTGGCTATGGGGGCAAGGCAATCAGAGCAATGCCTGTGAGTATTTGAAAATAAAATACTCCCTCCGTTTCAACTTGTTTGTCTGGTTTTGACTTGGCACGGAATTTAAGAAAGTTAAATATATGTAGAATGTACCAAATTGTCTTTAATCTTGTGGTCTTAAATATGTCATGGAGAAACTTGAAACTAATGATTTTCCAACAAATCTCTGAATCGATGTTAATGTTTGTGCATGATTTCAGGTTTCCGCAGCCTGTGCACTAGCAGCATACAAGTTAAGACGACCTGTCAGGATATACGTCAACCGGAATAGTGACATGATAATGACAGGAGGACGACACCCGATGAAAGTAACGTACAGTGTAGGATTCAAATCGAGCGGAAAGATCACAGCATTACATCTTGATATATTGATAAATGCCGGGATCTCGGAAGATGTAAGCCCCATTGTACCATCAAATGTGATAAAAGCACTAAAAAAATATGATTGGGGTGCCTTATCTTTCAATGTAAAACTGTGCAAGACGAATCTTTCCAGCAAATCAGCTATGCGGGCCCCTGGTGAAGTGCAAGGATCTTATATAGCCGAAGCTATAATGGAGCGTGTTGCAGGTTTACTTTCGATGGAGGTGGACTCAGTCAGAAACAAAAATTTCCATACATTTGAAAGCCTTAATTTATTCTATGGTAACATTGTAGCAGAAGGAGAATATACATTGCCTAGTATCATGGATAAGTTGGCAGTGTCCTCAAGCTTTTTCCAACGAAGCAAGATGATAGAACAGTTCAACCAGAATAACACATGGAAGAAAAGGGGTATTTCTCGAGTGCCAATCGTGTATGAAGTCATGCAAAGACCAACCTCAGGAAAAGTCAGTATTCTGCAAGATGGATCAATCGTAGTAGAGGTTGGAGGGATTGAACTAGGCCAAGGGCTATGGACAAAGGTTAGACAAATGACTGCTTATGCTCTTGGTTTTATTGATAGTAGTTGGGCTGAAGACCTCGTGGAGAAAGTACGAGTCATACAAGCAGACACCTTAAGCTTAGTACAAGCCGGGTTTACAGCTGGAAGCACTACATCGGAATCAAGCTGTGAAGCTGTTAGACTTTGCTGTGACGTATTGGTTGAAAGACTGACCCCTTTGAAGAAACAGCTGCAGGAACAAAATGGTTCTGTTGATTGGCCAATGCTGATTCTCCAGGTTTGTTTCCCCACTATGTTATCATAAGAATACATCGGTACTTATACACGAGAGAAATATTCTATACTTAATGTAAATCCTGCAAATAATGTTACACAATATTCTCAACTAAATGTTGTATCTAGATCTGTCCATAATACTAACACAAAAAAGCACCTTCTAATTTATTTTTTTCGACGTTTCACTTCTGGAAGTCATGGGGTCAGTCACAATGAAATTTTGAGTCTTGAATTCTATTTTAAGACCATAGTAATTCACTTAAAAGTAACATATATAATTGCTTGTAATTTGCTTCTAATTGCGTGTAGCTCGGGAAAAAATTATTCTTTTAAAACAATTAGCCATAGTGTGTTGAATATCTGAGTTTGAATTTGTCTCCCACTCGCTCCTTACTTTGCAGGCACAAACGCAATCAGTAAACTTAGCAGCAAATTCTTATTATGTACCAGAATCCGGTTCCATGAGTTATTTGAACTTTGGCGCTGCTGTCAGTGAGGTAAACTTCTTGTTTTTGTCTATTTTCTGGTTCTGTCATCCATGTCTTGTTAACATTCCCCGCTTCAGTCTGCTTCATGGATTATCATTTTACAATATATATGACTCATGACACTCAGCAGGGATCTCTGATTGTGTAATACTCCCTCCGTTTCAATTTGTTTTGCTGGTTTTGACTTGACATCGAGTTTAAGAATGTAAGAAAACTTTTGAATCTTGTGAGACTAAGCTAAAGATACGTAGAATGTAACATAATGACCTTTAATCTTGTGGTCTTGAACAAGTCACATGGAAATTGGAACTAAAGAGCTGCCAAAAAAAGCAAAGCAACATTCTTTTTTAAACGAACTTAAAAGGAAAGTAAGACAAAGAAATTGGAACGGAGGGAACATTTTTAAGCCAATATATCTTCTGCAGCACCTTCATTTGGCAGAGTAACATTAAGCTTTTTTTACAGGTGGAGATTGATATTCTGACTGGAGAGACAGCCATTTTGCAGTCGGATATTATTTACGACTGTGGGCAGAGCTTGAATCCTGCTGTTGATTTGGGACAGGTTCTTCCATTCGTAGTAGATTTTGGATTCTTTAATTAGAACTTTCTTTTACGATAGAGAGATGCATCGTGCATGTCATCTGTTAGTCAAACTTCAGAACTATCTGATTCATTATTACAAGATTGCTCATAATTGTGGCGATTCCCTTTCTTTTCCTTGCTGCAGATTGAAGGGGCTTTCGTACAAGGAATTGGATTTTTCATGCACGAAGAATATCTCACCAACGAAGACGGGCTAATGGTCTCGAATAGCACTTGGAAATACAAGATCCCAACAATTGACACTATACCTCGGAATTTCAATGTTCATGTGCTAAACAGTGGACATCATGAAAAACGTGTTCTCTCGTCTAAAGGTATTATTCTTTTTTTCATTTCTTTACCCGCCCCTTCTGCGCCAAACAAGTTCTTTGCTTATGACAGTGAACTCATTTTTCACTCAGTTTAGTGGAAAATGTTGCAAATATGTTTCTAGAAAACCGGACAAAGAAATATGTAACCGAATGTAAGTCAATATCTTATTCCAACACTAGGTTAGCATATAAACATTTTGTAACTCACACCCTCGAGTTGGAGCATAGATATTAATCATACGTCCACATGAGGGACAAGTCGAGTACTGCTATGTCTAGCTGGCAAGTCTCCAGTTTCTAAAAGTAAATCAAGAATATACTTTCTGCGAGACAGAAGAATTCCATTCATTCTTTCAACTATACTAAGTCCAATGTCCGTTGAATCTTAACTTGATTACTTTTTTTGCAGCATCTGGTGAACCGCCTCTGCTTCTGGCAGCTTCGGTCCACTGTGCAACAAGAGAAGCTGTTAAAGCAGCACGCGAACAGCTCAAACTTTGGGGCAATCTGGACGGGTCTGTTTCAGAATTCTATCTGGACATCCCCGCCATATTACCCGTTGTGAAGACACAGTGTGGCCTGGATTATGTAGAGAAATATTTGGAAAGTATCTTGGCTCAGAAATCTAACTAAAAGTACTTCAACATGCATCTCGAATGATGCTGAACTATGTTGCTCTGACTCTCAAAAACTGTCGCCTCAGCCGTGTCGGTTCCTCAAAAACTGCATTATTTTAGGACGATCCGACATGCACTTGGGGGTACTTTTGAAAAGTCCGAGCAACATAGATACTGAATACTTGTTTTTATGTGAATCTTCTTAAAGAATTTGATTATTTTTTATTCTTCTCAAAATTATTTTAGAAAGAATGATAGGTTCAGACAAGAGAATCTATGACATTAAGTTGTCGCTGAAAGTCACTAATAGTCGTCGCCTAAAGGTTATGAAGGTCATCGCTAAAAGTCACTTTTAATGGCAACTAAATCGTCGCTAAAGGTTATGAAGGTCGTCGCTAAAAGTCGCTTTTAGCAGCGACTAAAGTCGTCGCTAATAAGTATGAAGGTCGTCGCTAAAAGTCGCTTTAGCAGCGACTAAAGTCGTCGTTAAAGGTTACGAGGTCGTCGCTAAAAGTCGCTTTTAGCAGCGACTAAAGTCGTCGCTAAAGGTTATGAAGGTCGTCGCTAAAAGTCCCTTTTAGTAAAGTCGTCGCTAAAAGCTCCTTTAGCGGCGACAAAAATTGCCGCTAAGAGGTATGAAGTTGTCGCTAAAAGTCGCTTTTAGTGGCAACAAAAGTCGTGCTAAAAGTTGCTTTCAGTGGCGACTAAAGTCGTCGCTAAAAGCTGTTTTTAGTGTCAACTGAAAACGCCACTAAAGGGTATGAATGTCGTCGCTAAAAGGTATGTATGTCACAACTTTTTCCGCCACTAAAAGTTTAATGGTCGCCACGAAACCAATCTCTAGCGGCAAATTTAATCACCACTAAAACCAAGTTTAGCGACAACAAGCATATAATAGTTACCACGATAATCAACCTTTGCGATCGTCGCTTAAACATACCATTGTCGCCACTAAAACTATTCATTAGCGACAACAGTTATCCCGCTAATAAATATAGTCATTGCCACTAAAAAGAAGCATTAGTGACAATTGTTCTCGCCGTTTCATGAATATCTATTACAATCTTATTAATTGTGTAGTCTCTAAAGGCAAACGTACACATTTCAAAGTTCAAACAAGGTACAATGCAGAAAAAAAATCAAATTTACCTAGCTTTTTTGATGATACACGGTCTCGACTTATTTTTTACCGAAATTCTTTTAAAATATTAGCTTTTTGTTATCACAAGGCGATAATGATAGCAAAAACCTGGGCTAGGAATCTGTTTGAACAATGTATAAACATAAACGAGGAAATTAGAACCAGAAGCACCATTTTTCAGAATCTAGATTCTCTTGTCAGTGATAGAGTAGTAATACTAGGTTCTTGACATCGACTAGGCTCCGACATGCACTTGGAGGTATTTTCGAAAAGTCCGAGCAACATAGATACTGAATACTTGTTTTTATGTAAATTTTCTTAAAGAATTTGAACGGTTCTTTTAATAGAAAATGTGTGATCTGAAGTTTCTTTCTTCAATTTGTGAGAGAGGCGACTGGCAGAGGGAGAGTGGCGAGCGAGAGTTTTGGGAGAGAGGCAACTGACAAACTTTGACAAACGGGCACAATCAAATCAAACAGTAGCTACTCCATTTATTTTAGGTTATTAGTTTGATATTATATACAATTATCCCTGTTAAATTGCTATTAAATAAAAAAATGTCTTTTTTTAAGGACAGACTAATTAAAAGTGGAAGTGAAAAATATATAAATTAGGACATGTGACTATTGTATTAGTTGAATTTTAGATGATTAATAGAGAAATTAAGAGGATTGAGTGAATTAAAAGTTTAACATTTAAAGGAATCTTTAGTGATAAATAAATAAATCTCTTTCAAAATAGGAAGATATTTTTTTTGACTTTTTTTTAAAAAATTAAAATATTCATCCCACATGTTTACTGAATAAAATAAAGATTTTCAGTACAATAATTGAGCTTATTATGATCACAATTAATTCCATGAGCTGTATTTTGAATGATATTTCACACGTTTAGTAGGTGATGGGCAAGATCTAATCTTATTCTTTTTATTATTTGATGTTTCAGATTTAAAATTTAAAAATTTAAAATTTTTATTTTAATGATAATCTTAATTAGTTGGACCAGTAATATTGAATATTATATAAAGAGGTATAGTGGACGGGATGTGATCTCTCCACTTTTAAATTTTATCGGTTGAAATAATTAATACGATATAAGACTTATAATAAAATGATTTTATTAATAGAAAACATATTAAAATAATAATGTGAGGGATGTGAGCCCTAAATAAAAGGAAACAACTTATATGATTCCGATTTATTTTTGTCCAAAAAATATTTCACTAGATCATCAGACAAGTAAAGACCTACTCTAAAATATATTGAATATCTTCTGAATACGCAATGTATATCTTTCAAATAAAATAAAGAAGACTCATTTATGTTATCGGTTGAAAGCTTGACTCTATGTCATTTCCGTTTGAAAAAATATTCATTCATGTCGTAGATGAGCCTTTCTCAAAGTTTGATGACATATTTGAATTTTTTTTCTTTTAAAAAATACTTTAATTAATGATATGTCTGAAATATAATTAATTGGCCACGATTTTGTAAAACTAGAATTATTTTTTTCTTTATAAATAATGACATGAATAAGTCTTCTCAAATAATTATTTTTAAGGAATGGTAAATATATCATTTCTGAAATTTCGAAACATCTTTAAATTTTTACCAAAGATAACATCACAACATGTAAAGAACATGTAAGGGCACAAAGAAGATTTCTCTTTTATGAATAAATCTATAAAGAGATAGAGAGAAGTTGGAAAGTAATTACGTTAAATTATACTCTAATAAGTTGACCTACTATAATAATTATAACATGACCGATTTAAATTGGTTGAATTTTTCACAATCATTCTTGAATATATTTTCTTCAAAATAATATCACATTTTACGTGAGTAATTTCAATAATTTTGAAAAAGATAAGATTTTTAAGAAAATATATCTGTTGATTTTTTTATATTGAAATTTTCATTAGTTATGTTTGCATAGATTATATAATTACAAATTTTCATTTACATGTTCTTAAGATAATGATTAAAAAAAAACAAAATAATCTTTCAACTTTTGAAAGTTATTAATTAAAGGACGTGTTTAGTATGAAAAAAAAAATAGAGACAACCGTCAAAAACACATTGAAGAATTATAATTTTTTTTAGTTTCATACTTAAACCATTATTGAGAGTGTGAGTTTCATACCTAAATTATTCTTTATTAGTTTAAGAAAACATGCATCATATGGCATTAATGCCTACCTCCAGAGGCCGAAATTGAATAACGACCAAACTTTTACAGACTTAAGCTGGGAAGTCGCTTTTTTATCGATATTTCAAGGAATACCAATCTCCGAAAATCGATTTTATAGGTAAAATATTCCATCTCGAGTCTCTTCTCAAACGACAATATATTGATAAGTTAAGTATTTCTCAAAGTTCGATAATATATTAGAACATTTTTCCTATAAATAAAAGGACTTGTTGGGAAGATTGATAACATCACTAACATGTAAAGCACATGTGAGGGCATAAAAAAATCTCTCTTTTATCTTTTTCCTATAAATAGAAGTGTGGGAATAGTAATCTTAAATTAGTATAAATTCCTTCACCTATAATAACTATAATTATGACCTGAGTGGTTCAAAAAGATTGAATTTTTTTTCTCCATCATCCCTATTAAAACTTGGAAATATTTTCTTTCGAAAATAATCATCACATTTTACATAATTGTGAGCTTCATTTTCCCTTTATAATTCAAGAATATTCTTTGCTTATTATTTTAATAATTGTGATATTTTTCAGCTCAGTTTGTAGAAGAAAAGTTGAAAAAGATCACATTTTTGATAAAGGGTATGTGTCAAAGTTAATCATTTCAGCTATCCAAGAATCTTGATTTAAGAAGCATTGGTGTTATAAAGTAAGCATTTGGACACCCAATGATCAAGATTCTTGATTTTTCTTTCAGTTGTGATATTTTTTAGCTCAGTATGTAGAAGAAAAGTTGAAAAAGACTAGATTTTTAATAAAGGGTATGTGTCTAAGTGAACTGTTTAAGCTATCTATGAATCTTGATTTAAGAAGCATTAGTGTTATAAAGTAAGCATTTGGACACCCAATGACCAAGATTCTTGATTTTTCTTACAGTTGTGATATTTTTTTAGCTCAGTATGTAGAAGAAAAGTTGAAAAAGATCAGATTTTTAATAAAAAGGGTATGTGTCTAAGTGAACTGTTTAAGCTATCTATGAATCTTGATTTAAGAAGCATTGGTGTAATAAAGTAAGCATTTGGACAACCAATGATCAAGATTCTTGATTTTTCTTTCAGTTGTGATATTTTTTAGCTCAGTATGTAGAAGAAAAGTTGAAAAAGACTAGATTTTTGGTAAAGGGTATGTGTTAAAGTTAACTGCTTCAGTATAAGTTTTTGTTCCACTTCTTATATTTTTCAACTGAAAGTAGAAAAAAGACAATTTTTTTGTGAAGGAGCTAACCATAGAATTTTGATTTTAAGGAGGCTATTGTAGTAATGGAGGAAAGACAGAAAAGGGGGAATTTGGTGTTTGCAGTTAATGGAGAGAGGTTTGAGTTGCCATCCGTCGATCCTTCTACAACTTTGCTTCACTTCTTGCGCTCGGAGACTTGTTACAAGAGTCCTAAGCTTGGTTGTGGTGAAGGTAATGCTCTTCTTTTCTTTCACCACTCTGTTACATAAATAAATATGTTTTTTCTTTTTGAGCAACCGCGGTGTTCAAGCCTGCTTGTGCGTCTCGACTAGTCTCAAGGGTAGCTTGTCATCTCCCACTATCCCACCAACACAACATTGAGTAACTCTGTCTGTCAAGGCTTGGACAAATAAGAAGAAATATCTAGTGTTTTTTACTCCGTTGAAATTTGAACCTGAGATCTCATGATCTTAATCTTCCTAGCGTATACTATATGTTTGTTTTTGGTGCTACTATATAATTAAGAAGCTTTGGATTTCCTTATATTTGTGTTCTTATGGCAAATGTTCATGGAATTTGATAAATTCTAGTGTACTTCTCTTATGCACCCGTCATATGCAGAAAGCTTATGATAACTTATTAGGGTGTGGTGGAACGGTAAAGATTCTTTCACCTCTAAACAAAAGTCTCTGGTTTCAA